TCACACAGCACTGCCACACATGAGATCACTCACATAACACTGCCACCCATGGGAGCACACACACAATACTGTCACACATGAGGACACTCACACAGCATTGTCACACATGAGAGCACTCACAAATCACTGCCACACATGCGAGTACTCACACAGCATTGCCACACATGAGAGCACTCACACAGCACTGCCACCCATATGAACACTCACACACCACTGCCAAACATGAGAGCACTCAAACAGAACAGCCACACATGAGTGCACTTACATAACAGTGCCACACATGAGATCACTCACATAACACTGCCACACATGAGCACTCACACAGCACTGCCACACATGAGCACTCACACAGCACTGTCATACATGAGCACTCACACAGCACTGCCACACATGAGCACTCACACAGCACTGCCACCCATGAGCACTCAAACAGCACTGCCACACATGAGCACTCACACAGCACTGCCACCCATGAGCACTCACACAGCACTGTCATACATGAGCACTCACACAGCACTGCCACACATGAGCACTCACACAGCACTGCCACCCATGAGCACTCAAACAGCACTGCCACACATGAGAGCACTCACACAGCACTGCCACCCATATAAGCACTCACATATCACAGCCACACATGAGAGCACTCACACAGCACTGCCACACATGAGAGCACTCACATAACACTGCCACCCCATGGGAGCACACACACATCACTGTCACACATGAGGACACTCACACATCACTGCTACACATGAGATCACTCACATAACACTGCCACACATGAGAGCACTCACATATCACAGCCACACATGAGCACTCAAACAGCACTGTCACACATGAGATCACTCACATAACACTGCCTCACATGAGATGTTTAACACAACACTGCCATCCACATATGAGCTCTCACACAACACTGCCACACATGAGATCACTAACACAACACTGCCACCCATGAGCACTCTAACAGCACTGCCACACATGAGCACTCAAATGACACTGCCACACATGAGCACTCACGCAGCACTGCCACACATGAGCACTCAAACAGCAGTGCCACACATGAGATCACTCACATAACACTGTCATACATGAGATCACTAACACAACACTGTCACACATGAGCACTCACACATCACTGCCACACATGAGCACTCACACGGTACTGCCACCCATGAGCACTCAAACAGCACTGCCACACATGAGAGCACTCACATAGCACTGCCACACATGAGCACTCAAACAGCAGTGCCACACATGAGATCACTCACATAACACTGCCACACACGAGATCACTCACATAACACTGCCACACATGAGATCACTAACACAACACTGCCACACATGAGCACTCTAACAGCACTGCCACACATGAGCACTCACAAGGTACTGCCACACACTCGCACTCAAACAGCAGTGCCACACACGAGATCACTCACATAACACTGCCATACATGAGATCACTAACACAACACTGCCACACATGAGCACTCACACGGTACTGCCGCTGATGAGCACTCACACATCACTGCCACACATGAGCACTCACACGGTACTGCCACCCATGAGCACTCAAACAGCACTGCCAGACATGAGAGCACTCACATAGCACTGCCACACATGAGCACTCCATGTCGATCACTTTGCGAATCCGCTAAAGAAGGCTGTGAACCGATGATGAACAATTTTGGATTCGACTGGCCAGAAAGATTGAACTATGAGCAGTTTCCGGAGGATGGTGGATTGTGCATATCAACAACTCGATAAAATACGAATTTGGCGTTGGTTGTACAGAACAACATCAACTACTAAAATACAACAAAATCTATAATGCAGGTGTTCAATGACTTCAGAGTTCTTTTCAAGTTAATTATTTAGTTTGATGTACATTTGTTTATAATAACCAATAACTCGGTGTTTAACGTATTCGTGTCTCGCTCTTCTGTCCCATAAACCCACCCACCAACAACCAATGAAGTATCAGGGGGAAAATCTCTTCTCCACGGGGTTCTCTACACGTGTCAGGGGGGAATCTCGTCTCGTCTCTCTATCTCGTCCCCTTGAGGTACGGGATCGGGAAAGTCACTTATACTTTACAGTCAAATAAGACGCACACAACGAAATACGTTTCAGCTCTCGTCTTAGTCGATCTGTGGAGCACTCTATAAGACACAGCGCCCTGGGGAAAAGTCCCCAAGACTCTCACAAGGCTGAACCAAGACTCGCTCAAGACTGGACTGCGTCAAGGCTCGCCCCAAGACTCTCTTAGACTGGACTCGACTGCCCAGGACTGCACTCTCTCTACTGCGTCTATCGTGCTGTGCTCCCCAAGACCAACTCAAACTCTCTTTATTCATTTTCAAAACTCTAACCAATTACAAAACAGTAAAAGACTCTAGGGCGTAACCTTCAATCATAAAGCCAATCACACTAAGTACTGAATACGTCATATCTTTTGATTAATCGTTCACTACATTAATAACTATGGATATAAACTGTCATCACTGAGCCAAGTTCCGTCCAAAACTTCAAATAGGCCTAAACGATGACAGACATAACACAGCAATTCAGCTAATAATCAACTAATTAAGTCGGTTAACAGATACGCGAAAACAAATTCATGACAGAAGCAGCAATACTGCATCATCTAAACTCTTAAATGTCATTCGCTGTTTACAAATACCAACAAGAGGCTATTGAGAGTTCATTATACGCACAACTCGAGACTGGAGACAATGCGTTTCTAGTCTCGTGAATATCCTATTCTTTTCAAATACACTGTATTTAGAACTTGCAGTATTCAGTCAGTTCTACAGATGAATTATCATAATATTTCATATGTCACAATTTCGGGGTAAAATATAAATCATAGTTTAATATTTATTGATGAGGCTGATTCACCCGTCCGTGATTTCAAACTTACTGTATTATTATTGAGATGGACAAGACATGCAGAATTGTAAGTAATGATTTGGCAATTTTCTCGCATTTAGCATCAACGGCTGCGACAATAAATAGTATGCACTAAATGTACAATATCAGATTATTCACGGTAAGCGGTTTTTGTAAAATAACAAAAATATATATCATAACGAGTCACCATCCACGACTACAAACTTCATAACAATCTCTCTGTCAGTTAGGTGCATGCTGTATAAAATATATCACGAAACCATGAAGCGAAATTAATAAATAAAATTACATTTTGAATAATTTCTTTCAAACAAGTTTTAAATAATCTTTATTGTAGTTCAAGGCCCATGGCCTAAATATACAGATTGCATAAACAATTAAATAAAATATGCCATAAAGTCACTTAATCTGTTTGTAAATTTCATATCTTAGTTTTAAGGAATGATACAAATGGATTGTAGTATGTAACTGTCAAACGTCTTCACCAATTCCACAAACTTATCATAAGAAGGCAATGTAAAATAGTAAAAAAAGTAAATAGAACGTTGCAAAATAATATCCACAAATATGCTTTGAAAGTATCGATTTTAGCGACTTCCAGAAACAAACATTGTCCAGGCTGTGAACCGTAACGGTTATATTTGATTTGTTTGCGTGTATACAAACAATCTATTAGAATTCCAATATTAAATATACATGTCAAATAAATCACTGGTAGTTTGTAACTATTTTTATAATGACCTTCTATCCTTACAAGCATATGTCCTTGTTATCCTCTATTAGGTCAATAATTTATAAGACAGAAACTATAAAATTTGAATTTATTATTATAACCATCTACTGAATATATATAGCATTATAAGGCCAACAATAGTTTTTTTATTTTAGAAAAAAATAATTGAGATATTTCAGAATATACATGTTGGCCATGCTAACAAAGTACAGCTGACAGATTATTATTCTTGATATATGCACGAAAAGCAAATATACGCAATGTATACTTAGACACTCCCTAATGATTTTCTCGTCTTTTGTTTGGGACATAATGTACAAGCTTTGAAGAATGTTAGCATACAAATATTGGTATGCATAAGAAGTCTCACTGGGTTTCCTGAGACTCTAAAATCCACCATTTTCTTGTCCAGGATCAGATTCTGCTATGGGTTCAAATCTCGCGATAAATGCATCTATTGCACTGGTTACTTTTTTCAAACGCGTAGCGCCATCTAAATGTACTCAATGCTCGTAACGTTGCTAATCTCCACCCGTAGTTACTGGTATATGTGGTTGCTTATTGGAACGGAAATTATTAACTTTCTATAGGATGACATTTCTAGTTAAATTATAATTGTTTTTCATCCGTTTAATGTTACATAATGAGATGTAAGTAAGGCACTGTAATAATTAGAACGGAAATTACATATTGCTATTAAAATATCATTAATTAAAAAATTATACATTTTATTAGCTATAAATTACAATTTATTTTCTGCTCACAACAACTCGACGCAGTTACCTGCTGATGTAAACTCGGTAGACGGACATTGAACGTGAGTATGAAGTTGGGGTGAATGTTTGAGTGCTGGCGGCTGTTAAAATCTCGCCGCATTAAATGTACAGTAGTTGTAAAGAGTCGTGTTCGATGTAGGTACCAAGCAACGTAGACGACGAGTGCAGGCACTAATTACATAAAAGGCGCACTGTGGGGCGTATATCACTACTGTAAATCACATTGGGATACCTAAATGCCATTTTAGCGAATTTGACATGAACTAACAAAATCTTAATTTAGCCGACAAATGAGTGCCGACAATTTCATTGTGAGAATATACTTTATTCTAAATTAGTGACATCTTCAATTAGCGAAATTACAGATTAGCTAAAATTACATACTAGCTAAAAAAGACAATATTTACCTTATAAAATATACCTCTCAGTAACCGCATATGTGTTGTAAAATTCAGGATTACATACATGAATTATCTGCCATTAATTGGGGTACCTTAGTTATTTTACTTGTGTGACCCATATTATAGGTGGAGCGTATTTATATTTTTGTACTTTTCCCAGACAACCCAGAGACAATGAAGGTAGCACAAGTGGTATTCGTGTGGATCGCATACAATCTGTATGGGTTTGCAGCAGCTGGCAGATACTGTAAAACGTTGGAAATACCAATGTGTCAAGATATTGGTTATGAACGTACGTTTACTTTAACTCCCAATATCTTCAATCATCAAAACCAAGAAGAAGCTGGGATTGAAATTCATCAATTCTTCCCACTGGTCAAGATTGAATGCTCTCCCGACTTGCGAATGTTTCTATGTTTATTGTACGCCCCTCCATGTTCTACAAAAAAGGATAAGTCCATCCCACCGCCGCCTCCATGTCGATCACTTTGCGAATCCGCTAAAGCAGGTTGTGAACCGACGATGAACGATTTTGGATTCGACTGGCCAGAAAGATTGAACTGCAAGCAGTTTCCGGAGGATGGTGGATTGTGCATATCACCAGCGCGATAAAATACGAAATTGGCGTTGACTGTACAGGACATTATTTACTATTAAAGTGCACCAGAAAATATATAATGCAGTTGTTGAATGGTTTCAGAGTAAATTTCGAATTGAACCATTTTTAATAAACTTACTGAGCGGGATGTGCATTTGTTTGCAGGAACCAATAAATCAGTGTATAACCTATCCGTGACTCACTCTTTTGTCCCAACCACAATCATGAAGCAGCAATACTGCGTCTTCTCAATTGTTATAGCTGTTATAAAATATAATATATACTGTCACGAACTGAAAAGTTTTATGCGTTTACTTTCAGCTTTGACAGACACGGTGATAAATAAAACTGGTAACTACGGATACGATTTTGTAATTTATGGCTTTCAGATTCGATTGTATTTCACTAAACAATAAAATTATGCCGTTTCAGTTTGAACGTAAATTGGCGTATATTTCTGCATTTACGTTTCTTCCGTCCAACTTAATCAGCGGTTATTTAAAAGTATACGTTGTAAACGTTGAACGGAAATCAGCGGTTTTTCAGAAATTACCGTTGATTTACGTTGAACTGAATGGACGACAAACATTTCCGGCTGACGGTTACGCGACGGATATGTCACCCCTCATAGTCCGACGGTTACGCGACAATTTTACTGCATAACAGCCATGTAACTTTTGTGTAACCGTACCGGAAACACGCGATTTCATGCCGTGTAATGTTTTCGAATTTAACTGCGGGGCTGTCGTGACAATGACTTAGGTTAAATATACAAGCAACTCCGCCAACATTTCAATCGCTTTTTCCAACTTTGCTCGCTGTTTTCTAACAAATATGACGGAATTTGAAAACATTTCATTATTTAAAAAATACAAAAATTTCACGATTTTCCACTATAAATGATTAACATAACATTAGGAAAGAACGCAGGAACGTTACCTTATATCTTTTCAATGTGTGTGTTGAAGTTGTTGCACTGTTGCTTTGCTTCTAATTTGACTTGTTGTTCAAAAACGCCCCATAACAATTGACTACTGTGGGTTTATTATTATACGCGCAACTTGAGACTGGCGACAATGCGCATATAGTCTCGTGGATATCGTATATTGTTTTCAAACACATTGTATATATATATATCTGTTCTATTTTTATAGAAGAACCTTCCCAAATAAAAGAAATTCTAAAATTTAAAAACATAAGAGGTAGTCACTAAACCATGTACTTTCACACTCATGCAAGAGAATAGACATGTTGGTGAACTAGCCTTGCACTGTGAGTGTTTTATTGTTTACACTCTGTAAAATACCAGTTTTTTTTTTTCACAAATAAAAAAAAAAAAAAAAAAAGGAACTGCAGACCTCACTTCTTTATATTTTTGAGTGGGCCAACCATGTTTCCACATACAAAAATACACATAATATTTCTATTTAATTTATTTTATTTAAAAAAAATATATATTTTCGAAGCATAACAATACAACGACTAGATTCAGTTTGGTGTCACAGTTTGTTCCCAATTCATACTGGAATATTCCCAGCAATAATTAATAAAGCATGTTCAGAAAACCATTTATTCCCGACATCATATTCAATGGCTAGTTCTCAGGATCTACAACAGTAAATAAATAAACAGAAATCATTTTGATGCGTGGTTTTTAGATGACACTGCCATATCGCACAGAAATTCAACACCGCCATATCGAATTTGGATTTGGACCATACCATTTCAAGCTGCAGGTTGTCTAAACAATGACTCAACAAACAATAAACACATCTTCCACCCACCACACAAATTGTAGCCACAATTGAACAACCAAGAAAGCAACAAATATCAGGCTGCATCTTGAAAACAACGAGATACCGCATTACAACCAGTCATTACAAACATGAAATCCTCCACCCCTCCCAGTACACCCTACAGCATTAATGGTTCTATCTATGTACAACAAGCTTAGCCAATAAATGCACCTGACTCATTAAACTTTTGACCAACCACTCATTCTAAATATTGTTGAGTGAGAGCGCTATTTACTAATGAGAGGAATCTTTTAAACGAATTAAACAGATATATATATATACTTTTAAAGATGAGAGCGCAAGCCGATGGTATCTTCAATCCGGTATCTTGCAACTCCAAGCTCAAAGGACAAGATTTTGGTTACGGAAGTTCAATGTCAGTCAGTTATATTGCAGTATAACGTCGTTCAACCTCGTAAATGTTTTGAACAATGAAAACAAAACTTTAAACACGTAGACACGGCCAACTCAGAACAAAATACAACTTTATTTCACGTAATATTGTCATATACGAAAACTCGAGAATCCAGAGAAACAAATATATCAAAATAGTCTGGAAAAATACGACGATCTGTGCATAACATTTGATCATGATATGCTAATTATCTATTCATTTTCCTCATCCATTTTCTAAAAAAAAAACAAACAAAAAAAACAAAAACAAACAAAAACACTCACATTGCATTTACATGATATACATATTCCCAAAGATAAAGATGTGAAATTAAAATAAATGGTGACAACCTGCTAAATAAACTTAATAATAATAAGTAATACATTAAGGTAGAAAGATATTACAGTATTGCAATCTTTTTATCAACAATCATTTATAAAATAAATGAACCTTCAGTTAATTTATTATTTTAATGAACAAGTTTGAACGCGGACAGAAATCGTAAAAACTGCCATATCTTCGAATATTGTGAAATGCAACATGAGAATGGGAAATTATACGACAATAAACTGGCCTAGGAGATAAAAACAAGCAATAGGAAAATATTTAACAAAACCTGAAAGTTACTTGACAAAATGCTGAAATTGAATCGATGTTATTTGCAATAGCGTATTTTAAAGAATAGAAACATCAAAACCAAAAACACAAAAACAACATTTTTTTTCAAAACAAGATACTGACTAAACGAAGTGTCCATAAAACATGGTCACACTGATTCCATTGGGAATTGTGTCAAATAACTCAAAAACGCAATAGTTAAAAAACAGCGCCACCAGAGACCAAGGTACTAAACTCATTCATCTGCTGGTGATGTCTTTCTAGTACGATGTGCACTCTCGATTTCATTAGTCGCAACATCAAATTGCATATAGATAAATGTGTTCTTAATATTTGTTTACATCTTCGATAACATAACTCCCCCAGTAACTGTTTTTTGTTGTTGACATTTTGAATTTGGTTACTTCAAAATTCCGTACCTTAATTCTGTGTCTGATCGGTGCTTCCTAAGTCGACGCTAAATCTAAATAATTTAATAAATAAATAAATAAATAAATAAATAAATAAATAAATAAATAAATAAATAAATAAATAAATAAATAAATAAATAAATATAGTATGACATTATTACGCAAATGTTAATATTAGTCAGTTCAGTCACACAGTATTTAGCAATGACAGTAGATAACGTCATTTCATCTTCCAGGAGTGTGATTTAGTTTTGGTGACTTGGTGTAGTTGGCAGCCCGATGCAAAGCTGTGAACTAGGCGGGAAATCATCACATTTAAGATCAGGTTGCACGACGGGCAGTTCTTCACATCCGGCGAACGCTGCCTGACAGGTTTCATAACACGGTGGAATGTAATTTTCTAAAATAGTACACACTGGCATGTACAACGAACAGAGAAACAGCTTCGTTACTGCTGGACAGTCGCTAATCAAATGTCGTACCGGGGACATCGCCCGCCTTGCCTTTTTAAACGACGTGTGACCGAAGTGATTGGGAAATACCGTTTGATTGTAGAATCCTCCACATATCGGATCTACGTCTTGGCACTTTTGGCAACTCAATTCTTGGATCACCAACAGTATCAAGGTAAAGGATATACACACAATAGAAAGGCGTTTCATCTTGAATCGTAATCGGTAGTAGATTCAGTTACTGCCGGAAAAATAAAAATAAAATCTGAATATAATATCATAGTAAATGAAATCGTGTTAGTAGTTGAATTTTAACAATTAAACAAGTCTATTTCATCGTCGACACATATACAAAGCTTATATCATGTATTTGACGCACTGGTGAACATAAACCTAAGCTATAACAACATGTTTTGAATAACCAGATTCTTGATAACGATTGCTTGTGATGCAAACGATGCATGTACAATACACAGTACGCCACTCACCCTGTCTACTAGCACTTCAGCTAATCCTTCTTACAGAGCACACGTTAAGATGTACACTCTCTGAACAAGAATGCATAAATATAACAAGCAAGATATAATATTATAAGCCATCTACAAACTCACACTTGAAAACTCATTATAAAGGTTAATTTTAATGAACAGTCTAATTTGAATAAATTGTGTTATACAAAAATAAACCCGTTTAAGTTGGATATGACAATTATCAAACCCAATGCGGAAATGAGCAATGAACCGGTGTAGATTTTGAAGGCTAGGAAATGACGTGAGTAATTGGCAAAATCCGATAATTACTTGAAATAAAGTGGAAATTGCTTACTGTGTTAATTTATAATTATACTGGATAATTGCAATATTGTAATTTTAAATCATCAAAACAATAAGCCTCTATGAGGCAAAAACAAAAACGATATTTTTATGAGAACAAAACCCTGACTACATTGATGTCCTTCACAGCTTGGAAATTCAAATCTTGTTTGCAGGACTGACAAGGTTTTTCACGTCGAAAAACGCCCTTTATGTTGGTATAAATCAGCGTTTTTGCTGATGCTGAATACCAAACTTCTGTGTTTCTGTGTTATGCATAATTTATTGAACTGAGATGTCAATTACTTGTTTATACTCACAAACTGAGAGTCACCATGTCCACCCTGGAGGCTCTTGCAGGAAATTGTTAGGGAGAATCTAGAGTTAAAAGTAAAACTGGAAACTATACAAACAACTATACAGCCACCAATGAACTACAAGACCTACAACAATATACAAGGCGTCTCGAAATACATAGCATTCTACAGAATCCAAATTAAGATACTGATATGTTGGTTGTGTAAGTCGCGGAATCCGTCGGAGTCAACATTACACCTAAGGATATTGTCGCGAGCCATCGGTGCGATTTGTCAGAATATCTGTCCGCAACAAACGACATGAATATGGTTTACAATACAACAACTACCTTTTATATTAACGAGAACCTAACAGATGCCAACAAACACCTCTTTCACAATGCGAACGTGGTCAGAAAACGGTGTGGATGGATGTTTATATATGGGCTGACGGCAGTAAGATTTGTGTACGACGCTGTGAGGGGGCCGGTGCTGTAAGGATAAAATCACTTAAAGATATTTAGCGTATTCGACAACCGTCTTCTGACGCAACCACTGCCGACAGCTAATACACGTATTAAATATAAACTTTTGAGTCGCAACTCAAAATATTATGGATGCACAATATGACATTGCCACTGTTATGTATAACTGTAATTCTTACCCAGTTCACCAATTTAATTCACATTCTAACTATTCCAATCCAATAATTCAACCCATTTCTATATCATGTCTTTATCTAAACATTTCACGAATCCTTGTCTTTTACCCGTATTAACACATTCAAAATTATGTACTGTGAAACGATTTGTGTGGAAACGCACACAAACGGTAAATTCCGTACATCTAACAACCCATATTAGGAATAATTTGACAGTTTGGAGCTATGTCTAAACCAGTTGTCACCAAATAGAATTAATAATAATTGACGTCATTTTGTACCTAAGTATATTCTCATTCTTACAATTCGCTAATTCTTCCACATATTACATAATGCCTAAAAATCTAGGCTAATACATATGCAAATCTACTTCAAACAAAATATATCTCTTACTGATAAAAAATAGTACGCCTCATCACTTTCTCTGACTCATGATCTCATGCTGCTCCGCTCTATTTCAAAAACTACAACTACTAGACATTTTTCAATCTGCAAATTACAAACCTGCTTATTTGTTTTTGATCTCAGTAACCATTATGTACATAATGTTTACAACTATTTAAACCCATTGTCCCATAATTATCAAACCCGCTTAGCGTGTAGCTTGAATTATTATATCCCAAAACTGAATCTTAAACTAAACCGATGCAGTCTAAAACACTCTGCAACAAAACATTGGAACTCATTGCCTGATGTATTTAAAACCATCACTAAATTTATTTATTTATATTCACTACAATTTCTACATGTTGTTTTAAAAATGTTTTGAAAAGAGTTGATTGAAAGAATGACATTGAACTTATTTTTCCGCTAATAGAGTGAACTTGAATATTGCAATCAAGTCTACTAAAGAATTTAACAAAAACGAGAAAACATTGTAGTATATATTTCACTGTTCTTTTTATATGGGCATCTTCTATGATATGCTGAAGGGATCAGATAACTATTAATTGTACATGATGTTGATTGACATCACCATCTTGTGCACAAAACGACAACGTTCACTATTGATTACATCAGCATATGTAATGACCTGATAATTACATTAGCATATTTAATGAGCTTACGATAATATTAACATGTGGGAGGAGCTGAATTTGCGATAACCGTGCATCGATACGTTTGGATGAGCAGACCATCGAATACAATTTACTCAGCTATTGTTAATGAGCTCAACATAACATTACGTCATATATTCACGGGTTATGGTCGACGAGCATTTCACCAACAACAGCAGTGAGTGACATCTAAACATTTCTTTATGTTACGTAAACATAACGTTCTTTCGTGTTTGTTTATTTTCCGATTTTTCTCTCCACAGGATACCAGTCATTTTCAATTTTTGAGAAGGCAATAGCGTTCTCCACGTTAAAGTGCCTGTGAAATGCCTACCCTCACGTTTCCCATTTTATATCTGTGTCCCACTGAAATGGGCAGTTATTGATTTTTTTGCTGAAAATAATTACTCGTATCCAAGTAAATTTGGGATATTTCTCGTGTTGTAGCCACGCCCACCTATCGTGAAACGATCGACTGCTTCCGGATTTCCGACTCTCGCCGAAAGTGCGCCACCAAATGAGAAAATGTGAGAGGAAGTCATACCCCTGGGTCGTAATAACACTGGTCGTTCAGTATACTTTTAAACGATATACATTTTTTGGTCGGCGTTTTTTCTTTTTTTTCTTTTTTTTTTGAGAGAGAGAGTTTTTAGATGTTGTGTTGTGGGCAGTTGCAGTGAAACGTATAGTCATAGTGCATGTATTTACACGTTTCTAATCGATCCGAAGGTGCGACATCACTTAACCTTATATTCTTTTTTGGGGGGGAAACGAATGCGTTTAATCGTCTATATCAAACAAAAAACAAGTTAAGTGGTCGTCGAGTACCTACTCTTTGAAGGTTCACTTCATAACGCGCTTTATAGTTGAACAATACAAAAAGCATTTGTAGAAGGCCAGGCGGCAATGAAACTTAAATAGTACAATGTCACCCAATCACGGCAAACACATTGTTTGATATATTGTTCAAACGAACGATATTATTGTAATTCTGAAACCTTGCGTTAACCTAGGTCGGTGGGCCAAATATGTCGTGGTCACTAACAATTGATAAACTCATTAATATTGTCATAAGACTATGAAGCTATATACTGTTTAGATATCATTGGGTGTGTATGTAACTATGTCTTACACTCGCGTTAGGTTCGTTTATATAATGACCATGGACAACCAAATATGGATACACAGAACGTTGTGTCGACTAACTTCACACTCTTCCATTCAAATCCCACTGTTTAGTTATCCGGGGCCATCGCTTGATACTCGAGGCGCACAACACGTATGAATAATCTAAATAGTAGCGAATGTGGGTCAGAAAGATATTAAGTCAACATATTAATTGTCTAAAGGCATCGTTCTGATTGGGTGAACAACTTTTTTTAATTATACAAGCCGTAGTTAAATAAACAATATACCATGTGTTTATGAATAGGCCCAAACAAGACTGCCACTATAAAGGTGAATAGTTCTGTCTATTAACATCGTTCAAAATATCAGTTTGGGCCCCGCTTATCGAGTGTAAGAAAAAAACAAGCTGCCTTTCGGTCGATATAGCTCCGCTGTATGTTAAACAGTTGAAATAAAAACAAAAACAATATTTACATTTGTAGTGAGTATGACACCTATAATCAATTTGCCATTCTAGAGCCAGATCACGGTCGTGTGTGGTCTTATTCCACATGAATTTATATGGTCATTGATGCTCACCAATTTTTTTTTATTGATCGGATTCAAAATAGTTGCCCGGTGAACATATTGTTTTAACGAGTGTTGTTTCAGTGGCTTAACTGATTTTATTCCACATGTATACAAAGAAACGTACAAATTAATCTCGCGTCAGTTTCTATCATGTCCGATTGTCAGCCACACTAAATAACAAATATATGAGAGTCTTGTTATGGCCGTCATACCGCCATCATGAACTGTAACGCCACTCTACTGATGTGATTTAATATCTTACACACTAACTTCAATTGACACATTTAAACAGGCCATTGCTTTCTTTGACACATTTAAACAGGTCATTGTTAAGCCCTCAGAGGGTACCAAGTAATGTTGAGATTATGTCAATAGAGACGATTTTATTCATAAACGTTGCCGCTAACAAAAAAGAACTACGGGGTTCACATTTATGCCATCATTCACTGTTCAATGTCTATTTCATTCAACCACGGTTGCAAGTAGAACGTTTCGAATGCTGTTATCACATTCATTGTCACAATTAATTTGAAAACATTTCCATTAAATTCAATGCTTGTGAATAATTATTAAAACAAAGCTACTGTGTGAAATACTAAGTTTTATCGCAAAAAATGTCAAAAACATTGATTTACAAGAACTTGTCACATAAGTGTAAATAACCTCTAACAGTGCACAGTGCGTCATTATTGGCGGTACCGACTGTGAAAATATGAACGGGAAACACACATTATAAACATACACACGGGTCACGTGATATTATCTTAAAAGTATTATATCTTCAATGTTGTCGACTCTGCGGTTGCCCAATTCAAAGGTTACGTCTTTATCACCAGGCATCTGCACAAAATGAAAAACAAAACAAAAACAAAAGTACAATCACTACTGTAACAGACGATTAAATAGTACACAACATAATACACTACAAATTCGTACGTATTGATTGATCATTGTCGATTTGTCTGTACTCCACCGCAACATAATACATAACATAATCACACATGTTTATTGTTTGCATTCAAATACAACGTAACCGTATACGTGTTGCTCACTGGTCATTTCCCCCTATCGCAATACAGTATAGCATAATGCATTAGAAACTAGATAGTATCGATGACTGACGTAATTTTGCCGGGGACAATATTTAGTTTGTAATTGCGTATGGACACATTGATCGTGATAACATACCATCGTATTGGCAAATAGCAAACAACGAGGATGAACATGCCACATCATTCCACTTGAAATTATAGTCACGTCTGAGATAAGAACATAAGCGACTCGTTACGATATTTGCGTAGGACTTGGAATATAAAACGGGGTTACATAATGAAATTTGCTGCGCAATAATGTAGAGCGGACAACTTAAAAACAATATCAAACTCAGTGTACATGCAACTTAAAACAAGTTTTTGTTGATTTGTGATGGTTACATATATAAATGTATATTTCGTGTGCCACGCTCGTAAATGTATCGAGAGACAAGCTTATTGATTTGCGTAATTTCATGATTACAATTGAATAATAGGCGTTGATAATACAAAAACAATATTACAATACGTCAATATAAAAGCCTGACGCTGCAATGTTATTACATTGTATATGAAATGCATTCACAATGTGTTCATTTCACAATAGCAATGCAAACACGCTGGTGGACACCGCCTTAAATTGATTGTCTTAATAATACAGATATTTGACTTACGATATCTCCGTGCAGTCCTCACCATTACCCCAGTTTCCGCCATCGTTTGGTTCAGTTGGATGCCAATTGGTGTAACCCACAAGACTGGAGCCATCCTCCCACACCCGCGTGCCCTCAATTGCTCTGTCGTTTAATCCAATATACCAGCCATCTGTAGCACAAAGAAACAGCTTAGACGATAAATGATATGCTATGCAAGGTATTTCACACAACCACGATCGCTGAACGAGGATCGGTTAGCAAGGTCAATTTAACTGCCCAAATACGAACTGCTCTCTTACGCTAGCGACATATCATCGATAAAGTTTAATCTTTATTCAATAGTATTATAAGAGTCATGATCTGAACATAACCGAGATACAAATAAAGAAAACACATACATGTACACAACATGTTTTCGAACAACGTTAACAATGAATTTCAGCACTTACACGTGAGAGGAGACAACCCACTCTGACCAATAAGGCCTACTATATATGACTGGTCCTCGGCATTTTCAATCTTTGCTAAATGGCCACCCCTACTACTGCACAGAGATTTAGCCTCGGCCCAGGTATTAGTACTACCAACCAATTCAAAACGTCTCCTCACTGAAAAGGTACAATCACGAAACTACTTGTATTGGTAAAATCATTGCTTCGTTTTTTGTTTAGTCTGAAAATTTTCAGACTTTATTATCGATTGACCTCTGCAGCTGTGAACAATATTTGACAATTAACGAAGAGAATCCGTCAAAAATGACGAATCGTCATTCATGCAAAGCATCAGTGATACAAACACTAATTTGTGTGATTGGTAGCTGTGCACATACACAGACAGACAGACAGACAGAGGAACAACAATTTGAAAAGTTGGAGCCAAGTGAATAATCGGCCATCTGTGAGTGCCCTATTGTGTATACGATGCATTATACTTATCCTGCAACCTAGACTAGATAAGATGTATGAAACACGTGCTAATACGTAATATCCGGTTTAAATAAACTCCAACCTTGACGCAATGATCCCGGGACCCGCCGTAGGCGGCAGTATTTTCATTCGAGGTCAATTTTGGATCACCAGGTCATTCCTAAACGCGTAATTAGGACTGAGTCGAGAATCAATTTTGGGTGCCAGAAATCATCCAAAGACGTTTGTTTGAGTATAATTTGCACTGTCAAGACAAAGTTCAGGCTAATAAAATAAGATTGACGATGTTTTCCCATGAGAAAAAAGTGAATTATTTGTTGAAAAAAGCGGAGAAAAATTAATACGCTGAAATCGTGACGTTGACTCTACACATGCAATGCAGCGTCATGGAAATTGTCTAAAGTACACGTACACGCATCTTTCGATGACGTGATTATTTTGCCAGCCAGCCCAGGACGCCGTACAGACATTGTACTAAGGTAAGAGCCTTTGCCCTTTTCCACAAATTTTAATATATTCTTAACAATTGCTTTACCTCTAAAACTCTGCACACCATGCTATGATCATTCAGTGTTTTGTACTAAACGACTCATCGCTTAGCAAAGCCAATTTTCAGGATTTATTGGCACATGATGTCATGAATCAGAGAAACTAAATGACCAAAAATAAATATTGCATCGTATATAAATGATGACAGCGATTTACTAGGCCTATGGCCTGTGAACTCATATGATGTGTGTGCACGGTGCGACTAGTAACAATTACCTA